CTGTGTGAGTCTGATTGAGCACATATCTGCACATCAACATTAATCTATTCTCCCATTGGTCGTAATACACAGACAATCAATAATTTATCCACACTTGATTATGACTCACTCACATGCACACTCTTGTTTTCACTGTGTGCTTGCTTGCTATACGCCTGCAGATTTTATTAATCTTTAACAATAAAATGTCTCTACAACTGGTGTTCAGGCTTCTGAATAATCTCGAGTAAATCCATCACTCTATTAGGAGATTTAGCCAGCGTTAAATACTCAATTAACGGAATATCATTTATTGGAGTCAGATATAGGGAAAATTTGCCTCTACATTTCTTAAACAACTATTTTACAGTCAATAATAGCAATCGTACCAATTGTGAGAATTAATGAAAGAAATGCAGATCGTAGCAAAAACTAATTACAAATTAAGTCTGTTCTAACTATCTCCACACTGCTACTCCTAGAGTGCTCAAAGGTAACACTGGTATACAAAATAACTGACAGAGAATTAGAATACATGTTTGGAAAATTAAAAAACGAAGGAAACGGAAAAAATAGATGTGAAATGATATTCTGCCGGAAGAAAGGAAGCTTGTTTTTTGGCTATAGATATGTATAAACTACAGAACACATCATGTATGCTGGTAATGTACAATGTGTTAGTATACGGATTCATATGAACATAGTTGGGCACAACAGAAATGAAAATGAAGTCAACAATGCTGTCTTAAGTTAATTATAAGTACAAAACTATTGGTAAACTCAAAAAATTAAACTGTTTATTTGTATTATTTTTATAATTAATGAAAAGCTATGGGAAATTCATTCAACTGTTATTGTGACAAATTAGAAATAATGTGATAAAACGAGTAAACATGGAAAACATAACTAATTGTATGCACATTGTGTTGAAATATATATATGGGGAAAATACGGAACAGATATTACATAAACGTCTATACTAAGTGTCATACTGAGTGGTGCTCACTCTTACTTCATTTGAAGAAAATTATCTTCAATAAAGGTTTAGTGAACGTTAACACAACGGGGGACAATCGAATCTGGGAACCATATAGTGAATACTTGACTTACAAATTGTTAGTCGATTGTCTCAAACTTGAATGTTCCTGCATTTTCATACCAATTGCTTTCTGTTCCCATTCCTTCCTCCTCGGTCTTCTTGAGCTTCTGCTGCCTGACATTCTATTACTGACCAGCGCTATATACTGCTTATGTCGACATAGTAGTACACACCACAAAGTCACACTAAATATAAAACCAAAAATCACTCTCTGAATGAAACAAATATCATTGTAAGCAGTCATGATAATCGGTAAGCAAATGTGATCTCTGATTTTTCATCCCGTTCTAACAATGAGAAATAACAATGTAACTCCAAAGATGGGAAAATGATTTTATGGTTTCCTCCAATTTTAACATATCAATGATGATGAATAAAATGTCAAAATAAACTTGAAACATTTAACTTGGTATGATCTATGGAGCTACATCAACCATAATAGAATATGGTCTGACTAAATAATTAACTAAGTTATACAAATAATAAATGAACTGATGTACAAAATTATTGGTGAGAATATTTTAAATTTTTCTCAAGTTCTATGTTTTCATTTCTTAGAAGTAGTCTGTTCTTCATTATTAATACACGTGATTAGTATATAACGTATTCTTCAGTGATATTTTTGTAGTTGGATTGTGTATTTAATGGGTGAAGAAATGTAATTTTGATGTTTGTTTAGTCAAGTTAAGTAAATTTTTGTAAGTGAGCTCACTTTTATTTGTGTGATTAGAATTTAACATTGTACCATAGACTAAGTTGAATTGGATGAGCAAATATCTCTAGCAAAAGTCGACTTACATGTCTTTGCCAGAACGGTGATTATAAAGTGATCAAACATCGATATTAAGACTTTCCAAAGACGTAGACAGACCTGCGTAGGTGTGCGAACGTTGAATGCAGCCAGTTTGAATGGTGCACGTGGTTTCAGAAAGACTGGTTCAGTATTCGTATTCGGTGGTAGCATACAATTTTTAGCCAGACAGTGACTCGAGAACGTTTAGATAGAGCCGAATTTCCACCATAGGCGAGCTGCTGTATACGTTGAAAAGTAAGGTTAGACAGAGTGGGAATAAAAGAGAGTGAATAAATGACGTAGTAAATAATAATAATAATAATAATAATAATAATAATAATAATAATAATGTGAATCGTTCGATTATTTATCGAAGCAAAAAAAGTATTTCCCATAATTATCGACAGTTCACCATATTTGTGTGAGGGCTGTGATACTACTCGGGTGCCCAGACCGAAGCAGGTGGTTTTCTTAGGGGGACACACTTCAGACCTTTGACCTAAAAGTCTAACCCATAAGGCAGATTGAATAAAACAAAATACAAAGTAGAGAAGCAGCGGAGTTATGGCTAATTACTGATCTGCCAAAACTTATCCAGTAATTTATGAAGAAATATGTCATTATATTAGACAAATTTTGTTTTTATATTCAATTACAAATGCAATCAATATATTATATAGCTCTTTTGTTTAGACGACTAATTTTAATAAAAGTCTGAATACAGTTTGAGATTTCAAGTCTCTAATAGATCAATAGACCTTTGAATGGAATGTGACGTGTTGTACACAAAAATAATCACAGAGTTTCAGTATTATTATGTGAAAAATAACAGTGCTCTAGTAACTAATAGATCAGTAGAGAGGTAGAAAAACTATTGCTTAGTACTAACATGAGTTTTGTAATTTTTGATATTTCATAACTTGAAAACACTTCACATCGAAAGAAAATTCACACAGCTCAACGTTTGATCTCGCAAGTTCGTTCCAACACACTAACATTAAGTGAGGCCGTGGTGACGCTATTTTCTCTCTCGTAAACAAACCTAGACGGAATCAAATGTTTGACTAATTTCAAGTACGTTTTCCGAAGCCTCATCATACAGGCAACAAGCTAACATTTCGGATTATAAACGAACCCATATTACTTATTCACTTACTTACGCCTGTTACTCTTCGTGGAGGAGCATAGGCCGCTCAACAGCATTTTCCACCCAACCCTGTCCTAGTCAATCCTTTCCGGCTCTTTTCAGTTGTTATTCATCATTTTCATATCTGCTTCTATTTCCCGACGTAATGTGTTCTTCGACCTTCCTCTTTTCCGTTTCCCTTCAGGATTCCAAGTTAGCGCTTGTTTCGTGATGCAGTTTGGTGATTTCTGTAATGTATGTCCTATCCACTTCCATCATCCTTTCCTAATTTCCTCTTCAGCTGGGAGCTGGTTTGTTCTCTCCTTCAATAGGCTGTTGCTGATGGTATCCGGCCAATGAATGTTGAGTATCTTGCTAAGACAACTATTTATAAATACTTGTACCTTCTTGATGATGGTTGTAGTAGTCCTGCAAGTTTCAGCTCCGTACAGTAGGACTGTCTTGGAGTTCGTATTGAAGATTCTGACTTTGTTATTGGTTGATAGTTGTTTTGAATTTCATATGTTCTTCAAATGTAGGAATGCGACCATGCTTCCATAATCCTCGCCTTTAATTTTTCTGGTTAGCGTTTTTCTAGTGAATTAGTTTCTTAACCCCATGCTCAACCCTCCTCCTTTACCCGGGCTTGGGACCGGCAGTAACCCAAGGAGAGCTACAGGCGGAGTTGAACGAACCCATCGGGACTCATTAACTACTTAAGTGATAATAAAAATAAAAATATTAATAATGATATACATATATCACTTCGAAACTGTAAGAATGAATAACTTTGCATTTCATTTGTACTTCAAACTTGTTATTCATTTGATGGATTTAAGGAAAGTGAAAATGATAGTGGCTGTTGCTCATAATTTACAGTTTTTAACATCCGGAATGAAATAGGAGAGTGGAATTTTCGCCTTAATCAAGTTTGAAGTTGATAGTTGTTAGGATTGTGTTACCAAATCTATAAGGTACACAAGCAAGTCTATAATTTATGGACGAAGCAAATAGGTTTAAAAAAATAGGTCCTAGATTTTGGTGCGAAATTCTCTCATCCATTTGGTAATATACCGCTTTAACATTATAACTGAAATCGGTTCGTGGCGTTTGAAGCGAACGGAACCGTGTTCCAATTCAGGAGTGAACATCAATTCTGAGATTCAGGTACATCCATCTCGCGAGTCCCTAATTGGACGAAACGCGAGTCCTGTATCTCACTGCTAATCACCATCTATCTGTGCTTATTATACCTGTAACTTAAGGCAATATCGAGACAACCTACACGAAATGCACATATGTTGAATGGGATTGGCCAGTTGCAGTCCTAAGCCTCCATATGAGGATTCAAAAAACAATGCGAAAATGGATTGTGTTAGTAATGGTAGAACATAAATTACGCGCATCTCCTTGGTACAACACTTTTTTTCTTTTAAAAAATATTAATTTCTACTATGTTATTATAGTGTCGTACAGATAGAGTTTGTCAAATGTGATAAACAAATCTGTCAGTGAGATTAGTCTAGAGTTGTACGTAATGGCTTGATCAATTCTGAGAAGGAACCGAATCCAGCGATATTTCTGTTGGATTTCAGTGGTCAAATAAAACCTCCAACTTTCACTTGAACAAATGATAGTCCATCAAAGTTTAGTAATTGTTTAATTGATCACGTCTTTTTGTTTTAACAATAAGACTGCTTTGAGATAATAATTTAAGTATCCAAAAATTTATTCAACCTACATAATATTGATTGTGATCATAAAATGTAGTGAATCTGAGAGTAATTGAGATGTAGTTTTGTTTTTCTCAAAGAAAAATTGAACTTGCAAAAAGACAACATCGTTGTTTATCATTGAATACTTACTAAAAGAGGTTACAAATTAATTAAAACTGTTTGTTTTATCATCCACGTCACCCGTAAAATCTATATAAGTTGCTCTGTGAACAGAATAATACCAAAACCTTAATGGAATTTGCTTCCGTTCTGCTTATTTTTAAGAAAATGTCGTTACTGTTTATTATTTTGTATTTGTTTCTCTTGAAGGAGAGACTTGTGGAATGTTTGGTAGCACAAAACTATGCCGTAATTTTGTATTCGATTCAATAATTGTTATTACAACTATTTAAAGAGTGACAGTGAAAATCTTAAACCTAATATACGTCGAAGAAGTGAATTCATCGTTGGTGAAAAATTCCGTGTCCGAGTGGTTCTGAGTGAAGATTTAAAAAACCATTTACAGTATGATTTATTCCAGGTTAGTCAACCATAAGAATGTTATTTGCAAATACATACACGTTTTGTATTTATACGATAGCCCAGTCGTTTGTAATTATGCATTACATGCCTTAGTTCCAAGGTTAATTCATCATTTATAGCCCCATGTTACTCATTCTATATAAATTTTATCTACGTAATGCACCAAACACAAAATGTGCGATTAAGTTTGTGGATACATTTCGGTCTAATATTTAACGCATTGTTTCACTTTTTATTGCTACACTTTTCAAAACTTGTACATGCATTCAAGAACATTAGGCTGTTTAAAATGTTAGTTATTACAACTGACTTCAAGGATTCTGACATATGCTTTTAAATACGATTTATGTATTGTTTAATGGTCATGCAATACATACCAACTAGCTATAACATTCGTGTTCTCACAGATGGAAGGTGTAATTGAAGAAGTTGAAGTTTATAAGACATTTAATGGACAAATTATTTTATCTAAACACTGATCTCAGAACTGATAAAAATGTCAGGCCAGAAATACGGGAAAACTGCCTAATCAAACGTAGTGTTATTTTTCGGACAATATTGTCTTCTTAAAACTACCACAGTAGATTACTACTATGCAAATATAATTCAGTCAGTCAGTCAGTCAGTCAGCTACAACGTAGGACCAGACGCACATATGTATCATTCCACGTTGTCACACCTCATAAGCCCAAGAAGGTGAACGTCGAATTCATAGAAGCAGTTACTTCAATGGTATTAATATATAAAAAACATTGTGCATATTGACATAGTACAAGAAGAAAGAATCAGTTAGTGGAAAGAAAGGTATAAAGCAATGTTAATCGCAATGTTTAAGGAAAGACAGAGAGTGTATACGCTTACGCCATTGTGATCGATTCTGAGCCGTGTCACATAGAGTCTTCAACCATTGGTTATGATAGTCATGCGGACCCCAACCAAGTAGTCTGCATCTCCCAACATGTCTGAGACTCGAAGTTAGTGACTTCAAGGGCTGATCCCATGTTTTTGTTTGACCGCCCCTAACCTTCCTCCAACCATCCCCAACACTAGTCAGTATTGCACGTAGTGGTAATCGGTGTTTAGGCATACGTAACACGTGGCCCAACCATCTCAGTCGATGAAGACTCACAGTCTCATCAACTAACTTACCATCATTCCACAATACCTTGATTCTAACCTCACTATAACTTACCTGGTGAACCCAGCTGATACGGGAAATGTTTATGTGACATGTGGCATGATCAAATTCTAGTAACTTACGAGTATCTTCTACATGTTTCGCAGCCGTAAAGTAGAACAGAACGAACTGTCGCACAGTATACTAGCCCCTTAATTGATTGACCGATATCTCGCCCTCACGATGGCTGACGTATTGGCAAAAGCCAAACGAGCTTTTGAGTCCATGCAGAGATTTCGTCAGACACCAACACATTTAGGCAGATCAGACTTCCAAGATAATTAAAGTCGTCGACGCATTCAACTACTTCATTCCCTATCCTTAGTTCATGTGATCACGCAGCCCAATCCTGAAGCAACAACGTGAATTTCAAAATAGGAAGAAACGCATTGCAAACGTCCTGGCATTATTGCTCAGTGCTACCAAAACACTCTGCATTTTATCAGCGTCTTCGTCAAACAGGACCATATCATCCGCGTATTCTAAGTCGGTCAGTGCACCTCCTGGTGAGAGATCTATTCCTTAAAATTCAGTCAACGAGAACACTATTTCCAGCAGTAGGTCCATGATGAAGTCGAAAAAATGGAAATAGTGGACAACCTTGTTCGACGCCACCAGAGGTTGCAAAATCAGATGGTAGTTCGTCATAAGCTCTTACTGGACTAGTGGTGTTTGAGTAAAAGTCTTTCACAAGGTTTATGTACGTCTGAGATACGCTATTCAATGAGAGACAACGCCACGGAACCTCTCGATCTATAGAGCCAAATGCTACATTTAAGTCAAGAATAATCATCATTATCAGTCGCCAATAAGCATGCCTGCGTTCTAAGATCAGATGAATGGCAATAAAATATCAGGAGGACATCAAGTACAAAGGAACCTGAAAGTGAAATTAGGTTAGAGGTGGTCTTAGTGAACTGAAAGCGTAACCGCAGTGCTCAACTGCCTAAGTTCGGTGACTCACGACCTTTTGTGAGTAATTTCCTTGTTAACTCTGTAATTGTTTGGAACATACCGACGGAGACAGATATCCGTGGGATAAGGCATGATGTGCATTTTCACGGTCGACCTATTCTAATCCCAGCCCTCCTTGTGGGAAGGCAGCATCGCTTTTATGCTGGTTGTCTGAAAGAAAGCTCTTGCTTCCGTGACACCTCTGTACAGTTGGCAGTACCACTTCACCCTTGGATCACAGATTTGCTGCTTTTGGTCTTACCGCTCTTCAACCGACCTGTCTGGCATGGTAGGACCTTGAGGAACTATTGTTCCAGCCAGTATAGCTCGACTGGTTCACCATGATAGGCAAGCCAGATCACCAAGCTAAGGTAGCAGGAAAGGCCGGGATTTGATAAGTGCACGATAAATATCAATACACTGAAAATCTGACACAAGTACATTACTATGAATGTTTTCAAACGATAGGTGTCTGGTCTTTACCGTAGAATGTGCATTGCACAATTTAGTCAACGATGTTTCAGCTTGGGATTCGACAACACTTCAAATCCAGTATAAATTACGGTTAATAATTTATTCATCAATAAACCATGAGTTTAAATGACTAGTCGTCTATGACCATTTCAGTTCAGAATACTGGTAGACTAATTTGGGTCACCGATTTCGTCACTCCACTTTGTCCTTCCTAAAAAATTATGAAACAGTTGAGAACCAATAAGATGTATGACTCATTGATCTGTGATAATCAATATTATGGAGTACTGAGAATCTCACCAAGGTTAACAGTCACTGAATATTCGATAGTCTTCAAAACTAAACCTGTTTTCATCTTCTGTTTGATTGGAACACTTTTGTGAATTGCAGAGGCAGGTCAAAGATGCTTTGATATTCTGGACAAAGGCAATACAACCGAAGCAAATCTCCACCCAACAAATATTAATAGAACGGTTAGTTTATTAACAGTCATACAAATTGGGTAATTTCCATGTTGTGATATTGTTAGGAATCTCTTTGTTGCAGTTGACCTGTCATCCTAAACATTTATACTGATATGTGATGTGATGTTTGTTCAGAGAACAAACCACCTATATCTTCTGTCTGTTCTCTTACGGAAGTAAACTTGTAGTGTATTAGGGCCATCACTTTATTATACCAACGCCAACATCATTGAAAGTCATAAAACTCATCTGCATCTATGACACAAGCTATTTAGGATTTGTCAAACATGTCTTTCAATTAAGTTGACTAAATCCACAACATTTAGCAGTGTAGCGATGGTGGCAAAATTATAACAAAAATGCACTCTACTCCTCCAACGGTACGCGTGTCTCAATCGTTTCAATGCACCGTACATCTGCGAAGTAAAGTTGAACACTGTCCACGTTTTGTGAAACCTTTTGAAAGATGCTAAGACATTTACTGGATGACTGGCGAACGTACAGTTTGTGAATAACCCCTAAAATCTGGTTATTATCACACCTATTACAATAAGAAACTAGAACAACATATTTATACATTTCACTGAAACTAAGACATTGATGTTACAAATACTTTTGAATTTAGAGTGAACTGATAACAGCAATACAGCAATACAAAGCGCATTGTTCAACAGATTACTGTTGTCCATCAACAATCCATCTAGTGTGATAATGCGTCCAAGAACATTACCAGTCATCAGCTCGGTCAAATAGTTTACTGGGTGCTATCGGTCAGAGTGTGGAGGAAAGCCAGTGCTGATGCGATAAATTGCATTGTTGGGAGAGGATTCCATTCCTATAATTGTTTCATTCCCAATCAGTGTTCTGAACTCTCTGCATAGTGTCAGGTCTTTCATTAAGCAGACATCTCTTCACACCATATATCCAGAGGTCGAGTGGTTTCTATGGAGAGAGTCAACCAGTGAAAACCCGAACTAAGGAGGTAGTGTTTCGAGAACATCTCTGACAGAAATGAATTAAGTTTGAGTAGAGTACAGCCTCGATATAAGCAACAGGTGGTTGTCAATGCAGATGGTAGCTGATCGTGTCCATTATTGTTTGAGCAACGAGAAGTTAGAAATTTATTGTGTTTCGGATACACCTCAGAGGTAAACAATGATACAAAACATTGTGGTCGACGGCGGTCAACTTCTTGAATGTGTCATTACACAATGATGTGCACTCAGAGTGATAAATAAACATTTCTTTTCCTGTTGTTTATTCTCCTTTCGAATACATTAGCAATTGCAATGAACGAGTTCGATCACAAATGCGGCCACAATATCATTACTGCGAAGGTGGTTGTAACAACGTGTCGATATGTAACGGTTTTGAAATCCCCGAGAAGTATCTTCAGGTCAGTTGCCCAGTTTAAACAATTGAATATTTGTCGTACATTAAGCATGAGGATTACATCCCACCCATCATCAGAAAACATCCCGCTTAGTGTAAGCAATAATCAATTCCATCCTCAACAATCCTATGAAGAACATCAGTTATTACTTCACACGAAATATGAATTGCAGATAGTTTATAAGTTCTTGATTCGTTACCTCTGGAATATTTTGTGAGTTCACAACACTCTAAAGTGTCAGGGGAAAGTAAATCACGTCTCGATCAACGTTATTTCCAAAACATTACAGTGTAGTTAGCGTAAACCCAGATGCGGTAAATCTACTTATTGCTTACACAGTTATACTAGTGAAATAGGAGAATCGTGCATTAAATACATTATTTGCACATATTCCTTCAGTTTTCTTTCACATACTTTGTGATTCTTTAAATTCTGTCGCTGTTACATTGTTACTTGTTTGCCTTCCTGTTCTCTTCAATTCCATCTTGTGCTGGCAGGTATCCCACTTCCGATTGCTGCTACATGTTACTTTTATCTGTTGGCATAGTTAGCATATACCACAACAGGATCACTAAACGTTGCATATGAATTAACATGAAAGTTATTTCAGTTGGTGCCCAGTAGCATCCAGTAAGATACATTTCCGAGTGTCGTGAATTTTATGTGATAAAATTCTTGCTGCCAAACACGTACGCTAGGAAATCTCACTGCATCATACAGATAAATAACCGAACTGTCAAACTCGTCAGTTATCAATGTTATCGCTAGTCTGTTTCGGTGTGGTTAACTTTTCCATTAAATTTAATTATTACCGGGCTGTGATCATGTCAGACACTGTATCATTTTCAACATCACTCTGCATATTTTTTTCTCCGTAATAATGCGAAACAGTTAATAATTGTTTTAAAGGTTAAGGGAACTCTGGGAGACCCACACAGTGTCGCATGATGGACTGTCATTCTAAACACAAAGGTGATTTGTGCTCATTATCGAACATAGTTGAGGTACAGAGATTTGTTATCTAATTTAGATTCTATCAATCCACACTGGCTGAGGAAGTGAAGCTTCACCGGTCGTGTTGTTAATCGGTATTTTAACTCGGTTATTTGGATTTTTCATGTACTATGAAGGTCACCCTTGAAAAAACAAAACACTGATTTCCAGCTTCGAACAACTTTAAGTGTACATAATAATAATCATTGGATCGGTTGTGACAACAAAAGTAGCTTAAAACATTTCGAGTACAATTTTTACGTTTTGTCCTCTGACAACTTTATGCAAACCTTTCTAATGTTCCGACTCTATAGAAATGTCGTTCATCTGAAAAAGATGTTGTGGAAAAAGTCCAAGTCAAAAAGTCAGACAAAAGTGACTTTATTCTGTTTATTCGTTCGAGTAATAATGGATCTCACACAGCGTTGGCTACAGCTGACTATTGTGAGCTGGATTTAGACACAAATAGGTAAGTAACAGATCGGTTGGTGTGTGAAAATTATTGTTTGCGTTCGGTTGAAATCTTATACTGAGATTAACTTATTTAAATTTTAGTACCACAGATGTTCTTGAATTTCCTGTTTCATATCATTCAAGTATCACAACGTCTTAATTGTCTACCGACAATACGGACAATTCGCTGCCAAGCGTAGCAAACAAGTGCAATGATTACTTCACTACCTCTCAAAAACCAATATAATTCAGATAACATGCGAGTCAACAAATTAAACCAGTTCGTGGTCTCACAGATATCGTGTTAAACATTGAGATCAAAAATGTTACTTCTTCAAACTCAGCGTCATACGCAGTACGCTAGAACGAAAATTGCATTCTCTATTAGCTCTTCACTTGACAATTTTAACTAACAGATTTTCTGAACTGGCTACGATTATTCACTCATTGATTTTATACGGCCGTCGTCAGCGTTGATGAAACTTTAAATTGTGTGGCTCGATTTTGTGAAACAGGAAACACTTCTATACATGTGGTTAGCATTTGAGCGAAACCATCACAACCATTCGTGATGCCAGTGTTGTCCTGAGTTAGGATTTTTGAACGGTTCACTGAAAACGTAGTAGAGTGTTGTGATGCAATTACCTGATCCGGTGGTGGGGTGTTATCATGATCAGACATAAAAACTAGGATTGAAAAGAACAGTTGCATGTTTCTGATTCACTATGTACAGTTGCATTAGTTATATAGAAAACAATTTAGGAATCTTTCAATCACACGACAAAAGTCTACTTGTTTTCAAAACACTGTTTCAGTCCAAATTTATTTGAAATTTATAAGTTGCTGCATCTTCCTTCTGACTTTTCATTATAAACTACCAATGCTCTGTGATACAATAGCTTTCGTTGTTACTGCAGTTACCTTAAATGCTGTCAACTTTTCAATGATTCGAAAGCTTTTCAGTTATTACGATTTATGCCACTTATCATTTACATTATTCCGTGCCTAATAATTGCGATTGTGTTATTTTTGTTTGTAAACAAGACCAATCGCCGGTTCAATTGCAATTTTCTCAGCTATGAAATACATTGATTACAACCCAGGCGAATTGAAACGAGTTATTATTCATGAATTAGGACATACATTCGTGAGTGAAACAACTATTAATTACACAGTTTACTTATTTTTGTATTGTATTCTTGTAACGATAACCATTGAATTCACTACACAATGTGCACAATGAAACAGTATTAATAAATTATCATTATCACCTTACTCACAGTTTCGGATAATTTCTCAGGTGTAGTAACCCGCGTGATTTGCAAGGACCTGTAAACTGAAGAACAATTTCACAGCTGTAGTTACATACTTTTGTTACGTTCCATTGTGTGCAACAGAACGTTTTGTTAAGAAAAGTATTGGGATGCTAACAGTCGTTAAACTTTCGTGAATTCATTTTAACAAACGACTGAATGCCTTTAAATTTATCGAAGAGATCAAGTGTATTGTTTTACTCCACTTCCGATGAGGATGTTAAGAAAATAGCAGAAAATAGCAATAATAAATAAAGTTACTTGACATGTGCCTCTTAATGCCACTGTGAGACTCGTTCAAATGATTTCAATCAATAATAAAATATTATTTTATTGAATAGGGCTTCGATTATCGGTTGTTTCCTTACCTACGTCATGATGATGGTAGTCCTAGAACAAAGCGTAACCAACATACTGGTGAACCGGAATTGCCAACAGATGACAACGAAGGATTAAAAGCTGATCGGTAAGGAACATTTAAAACACTACTCGACTCTCTGTCTTAACATCTTGCGTTAACACAACACTGTTTTATTTAAAATACATAAAGCGATGAAGTTCCAAACTCTTTCTCGAATCCAACTCACAGAACACTTTCTACGTAATTATTGAAAATATTTCAGTTTCCTCAAATCATGCTCAACTTTTTCATCCGAACAGTTCGTTTATAGGGTAGATAAGTATTCCATTGCAAATTACTGGCATGAAGTAACTAACTCAATCAGTAACCGGATCATCAGTTGCTCATTGGCAACGAATCGACTCCATTATGAATGACAATGAATGAATCATGGAATGGAAATTTCCCACCCAATTCCCAAATTGTTCTGGGACTGGTCTCATTTGGCATGCGCAGTATTAAAAGCCAAATACCCATTGATATGTGAGAATTTCAGTTCAGATATTCAGGTTAAGACAGACAGACAGACAGAGTCTATACAAGCAATATAACCTTTTATTATCCTAATACTATTCACATATCAGATCAAATGACTGTCTTTTCAAAGTACATTTCAAACGTTGCAGTATCAATTTACTTATTGGAACCTTGTTTTCAGAAATACTATAAAATACGTGTCCAGGACATGGCATACAGTCGCCGGTGAGAAGACGTACAAGAGAGTCGCATTAACATTACCAAGTGTAGTCGTAAGTATATCATTGACTTTACACATATTTCACTGATTCTGTGATGTTTTATTGTGGTTTACTCCTAGAGCTTGTTTTATTGGCATATGAAGAGAGAAAATGTTTGTTAAATTGATTAATTTGTTGTCTCTCGCCTTAATTAGATAAATGTTATCAATGAATGTTTGGTTCAATATCATGAACAATTCACATCTATCGTAAATTTCCGATGGGAAATCAGGTGTCCTAACTGGAAATCATGAAAAATTGATTTACTTGTGCAAATATTATCATTATACTTTAACACATATATTAGCAATAGTGTATAGAAAAACAATGGAATTCACGGTCAATCTACAAATCATAGAGTTCAGTGCCAAGTCAGTTCACTTTATACAGAGTTCGATCATTATGTCGATCAACACACTTCATTGTACTTATACAAACTGTTGTGTCTTACAGCCAACTAATACGCGTAGACGCGGAAAGGACGATGGAAACTGATACTCTATGCTTGGTGGTTCTCCCAATAATAACTAGCACTGAACGAGGAGGAAGTATAGAAGATCAACGACCACCAGTCCATACTTTTAAAACATTTTATTCATTCTTAGTAAATTATCACCAGTCATCCTTCGTTTGTCTATTTAAAGCTGTCTAAAAACTATCCGTACTGACCTTTGTACTGTATTTACATTGACACACACATATATGTGTCTCTACCACCTCGTTCAATTCACACTTCAGTATGACTCTCATGCAACATTGGCAAGCAGTTGAACGTAACAGTCATTACTACAAATATATCTTAAAAGCACTTCCATTTCAACATAAAATTACATGTTTCTTTAAATAAAGACTGCAGAATTGCAGTAGTTTTGTTGACTTCAACCAACCTGATGAATGTAGCCTCTTGATGTATATTTGACATTCAGACAAGAATCTAGATTAATTTATTGTTATCTTCTCTTCTTTCAAATAGAACTTTGCAAGAAATCATTTCCGATGCAATGAGCTTGATGCGGTTGATCTAGAATCGGATGGTAGCGTTGGATCTAAACATTCACACTTCGAACGACGTCTGTCTATTGTAAATTAACAATAAATTTAACAAATATCAAGTCATAAATATTCTCTCGAATGATTATTCCAACGTCATTTCTGTTTTAATTTTCAGGGTGAAGCTATGTCTGCTACTTGCGACATCATGGCGTCTGTTTCCAATTTAACTCTCAGCTACTTCAAAGATACTGGGTAAAGTTCAAAACAGTGTGTTGTTGAGTATGTGAATATGTGTATCGATGGTGAAAATTTCGTTGTATTTTCTCACTATGTAACTATAAGCTTAAGACGGTGATAATTAAAATGTATTAGTTTCGAAGTTTTGTAAAATGTGAACTGTTACTGTTATACAGTCTTCCTATTCGTGATCTCGTTCTGCTGCTTGTGTGAAAACGTTGATAAATATCAGGAAGATTTATTAATTAAACTCTAATCGTAAGTGTATGGATAACTTCCCATAAATATATGTCTATTGCTCCCGGGACATTAAAACAGGTTTCTGACCAATAGTGTGTATCGGTCTTCTTCGAAAGTCGAACGTTGACCCATAGGTTGCACCTGTCAGAAAATCTAACCTCTCACTTGGCCGATGACCGATCGACTGAGCGTATTCATTCATAATCATCTATATTTTCAGAGAGCCTTCTAGTCCTATGAACTATTCCATTGCACGATTTCTGAAAATGAAATTATCAGAATAATTGCAACTGAAATTAGGCATAACACTAATGTGCTGCCTAACTTCGTGATGAAATTTTAATTTAATTCGCTACTTCGATTTTACACATCGTTCAAGTATTCATATAATCCTAGTAGACTGAACAAAAGATTAGAATAATGAATAAGAATTATGAGTTACTTTTGAATAATTATGTTCGATTAGCTGATCAACCTGATTTAGTTTGATTGTTATACCAGTTTGATCCGTTCACTGCATTATTTAACCTTATAAGTTGAACCAATTAAGATTATTGATTGTTAGGAGTTAATCGACAATTCCTGTCAGTGAATTCTTTGAACGGTCAGTAGATTATTATTATTATAAAATATGATGAAGATGATATCTATTAACTCTTCATCTTTCAGATGGTATAATGTAAATATTTCTATGGCTAAACCATGGGATTGGGGTCGTGGTCAAGGATGTGAATTTATTTTCAAAAGTTGTGGTGAATTCATTAAAAGGCAAGAATATAGACAAATATTGATATACCACATTTTCCTTTTTCTAGTGTGAGGTAAATTTTGACTGACTAGGTTTGTTAAACAGATACTTAAATTACTATCGTTGTCATCAATCATCTGTCGCGGTATATTACACACATAATTACCTATGGTCAATCTCAATCACAAGCATATAATTTTATTGTCTGTATTTCACTTTGCTGATACTAATTAGATAGAAGTTTTATAACTGCCTTTCATTCAAAACACGGTTGTAAACACAGATTTGATCTATTTCGTAAATAGTAAACTATCTAAACCACATAGCATTAGGAAGATCAAGGTCGTTGATGCATCAGTGTGATTAATCTATGATTGAAAAAAATATAAGTAACCTAGTTATTTTTACATGAGTTGTTGTTAGGGCAGTAAAATCCCTAAAACTTAACAATATCCTTGACTGATATGTGGCTCGTGAAAGTAAATATGACTGGCCACTGAGCATGAACTGAAAGACACTTATATTGACTACTTAACTTGTAATTTCCTTCCTACTATTGATTTCTATTCCGGACTGACCCAGTATAACTACCCGTAATTCCATTTATTAAAAAGTATTGTTAAGTGTACTCTCTTATTTGTTTTATTAGCCATGAATATCTGGTATCCGGTATAATATGGTCATTCTGTGTAGATAGTATCAATCGCGTATATGGTCTAATTGCTGTAAAATCTGAGCAAACAGTTGTGTTATCATATCACAGCGGATATAGTACTTACTTACTTACTTACTTACTTACGCCTGTTACTCCCAATGGAGCATAGGCCGCTGACCAGCATTCTCCAACCCACTCTGTCATGGGCCTTCCTTTCTAGTTCCATCCAATTCTTGTTCATTTTTCTCATGTCTATCTCCATTTCTCGGCGTAATGTGTTCTTTGGTCTTCCTCTTCTTCTTTGACCTTTAGTATTCCATGTGAGGGCTTGTCTTGTGACGCAGTTGGGTGTTTTCCTCAATGTGTGTCCTATCCACTTCCAGCGCTTCTTCCTGATTTCTTCCTCCACTGGGATCTGGTTTGTTCTCTCCCACAGTACGTTGTTGCTAATAGTGTCCGGCCAATGGATCTGAAGTATTTTGCGTAGACAATTGTTAATAAACACCTGTATTTTCTGGATGATGGCTTTTGTAGTTCTCCAGGTTTCTGCCCCATACAGTAGAACTGTCTTGACATTTGTATTGAAAATCCTGACCTTGGTGTTGGTTGACAGTTGCTTTGAGTTCCAAATGTTCCTCAGTTGTAAATATGCTGTTCTTGCTTTGCCGATCCGCGCCTTCACATCTGCATTAGATCCAGCCTGTTCATCAATGATGCTGCCCAAATATGTAAAGGTTTTTACATCTTCCAAATCTTCTCCGTCAATTGTGATTGGATTGGTGCATGCTGTGTTGTATCGGAGAATCCTGCTTTTCCCTTGGTTTATATTGAGACCTATTGCTGCTGAGGCAGCTGCCACACTGTTTGTCTTCTCCTGCATCGGTTGTTGCGTTTGGGATAGAAGGGCCAGATCGTCTGCGAAGTCTAGATCATCCAACTGCATCTTAGATGTCCATTGTATCCCGCGCTTTCCTTCAGACGTTGACGTCTTCATGATCCAGTCGAACACCAGGAGAAAGAGAAAGGGTGAGAAACGGATATAGTAGAAACAAGAAAATATCTATCATTAACTGGCAAACACTGAATATAACTTGTATTAAATGAAATAATTTATAACACAAAACGATCTTTTTAAGTCGGTATCAATTGCCATTCTATATAAGTGTGGATGTCAAACTCTAGTTAGTGGGCGAAGTAAATGACAATAAGAAGTAGTCTCTTCTTTGTCATTGAAGTCGGAATTGCGAGTTATCGGCTTAGTTCATAAAATTCTTAGATGTTTTAAACAAATGTAAATAGTAAACGGCTTTTGTGTCATGAAACTTGATGACTGGTGCACATAATGATAACTAAACAGAAAATAACTAAAATCTGTCAGAAATCTTTGCTCTGAATTACGGTTTAATTACGTTCTAGACATTTTAACGAATATAGATTTCCGTTGATACTCACTTGTAAAACGACCGGTCAATAGTGCCGAACTTTCTTATTTCACAGACAACACAATTCACGGTAAACATATTTTCACCGAAATATCTACTGTCATTAATTCATGTGTCTACCAAATATTTGAATGAAAGTGTATGGTGGTGAGGATTGTTGATTTTAATTGAGATAATGAACCGATCAATGTTCAACCACCTTTTAAAATCCTGGAGATACTGTGCAACCGTTTCGTCCTTCTATGAAACGCCTCACCAGTGGCAATCCAGGATCATTCACACGGGACTCAAACACAGGCATTCGTTTACTCACGAACGCTTAAACTTCAAACCTTTGGACAGGCATCTGGCAGTGTTCATACCCAACTTCAAACGATCCCACGACATTGAGCGATTATCTTCAATTGTCTTCGATGAGTGACTGCCTCATACTGACACAATTGAACTCCACTGGTTGCATGTTCTTGGTAAAATGAATTTTGGCCTGCTTTTAATCAACTTGCCAGATTAGTTCATCATTAATTATTAAAATATATTGATACAATGTATATGGTCAATCGTAACGTGGTTCACCAATCTGTTGAATCGATTAATGAATTGCATTTTGACACCTTTCATTTAATTGCGCTGATTATCTGGTTTGTTTTTGTTTACAGTCAACGGACGTCATCACCTTGGTGTGATAAAATAATTAATACAGAGTCATATATTCAGTGCATCCCTCATGTAAATGCATACGGAATGTGCAATTTGATAAAACACAGTTTACCTCTAAAACCAGAGCATATACACTTCGATAGCCTGCCCAATATAGTGCCTTCGGAACTAAGTAGTTTTGGAGGATCTGACACTTCTGCTGATCACTGTCCATATATGTCTGTAAGTACAGTTTTATATAGTTATATGTTTTAATCAATAAACCAAGATTTGGATTCAAAATAAACCAGTTACAATGCAGTGATACATACGTTTTACTTTGCATTCAAACGACTAAAAAACAAAACGCCATATTCACTCATCAACGTTAAACGGAATCGATCAAAGTTTGTTTTGAGAAAATTAAATCCTAAAGTGAATAAATCGGTTTGAGTAATCGTTTCTCAAATTCTAAGTTAATAATTGCGAAAAATACGTATTGTTATGGCTGTGGTAATCAACTTGAACTCAGTTCACTTCAGAATACAATACTCAGTTATATATGAATTCATTGTTGTTTCCAAGCAAATTTAGTTATCACAGACGACGAAAACTCACATACGAACTTTGAAATTATAGACTATTTGACTTTTAAATGGTAATATGTATAAAATCATTCAAGACCAGGATTGTACACGAATACTTTTACATATCAGTCATTTTGTTTAATTTCTAACTATCGCATTGTGTCACATAATCAAAGTTTTCTGATTTACTGATCCAAATATTTCGAATTTTATCTTCAGAAAGTGTTGATCTATGCTGTACGTAAACTGTTTTATGATAAAGATGATTTCAAGTGAAAACTAACATCTGAAACTAAATTCTAATTTTTGAATAGCTACGTGTCATTGGTGTTACAATTAAATGTGTACGCTGACATTTCATTGGTGTACCATACAAAACATCATGAATAAATATCCTTCACGAAATAGGACGACTCATATGAATAGTTGAATTTGTGTTGATTTATTCCATTCGGCTATTTCCGGGAGAATGTCTCCCGATGCCTAATTTACTCTGTAATCAAGTGATTTGTGAATCTTTTCCAACAATATGGATGGTGGTTGCGATCCCAAGGTGTTTTCTAATTACTGCCACCATTCAGAAAGATCACTTTTAACTGATTGTCCATAGTTTAAACAATATGTGTTTCGACTTCTCAACTAACCACAAAAAATCAACCACTTCACGATTCTCTGATATCAACGCTAGTAGTTGGGCAGATAGTTATTGGC